TACTGTAAAGTCTTTCAGGGTGGTCAGGACCTGAATTCCTCACACAAAGGAAGAATCAGGGGGAAAGGAAACAGCAAGAAGGGCCTTCCCTGCCTTGGGGATCTGTCACAAGGGCTCAGCGAGGCTCCAAGCATGTGCTACAGCTCTGCAATCCCTCTGCCCCAAGGTAAGTGCCTCTCACTCCCTCTCACCAGTGCACATCCTCCTCCCAGCCTGTGCTCCCCACTCGTGTTCCTTGGCCCTTCTGATCAGCTCCAGGGCTCCTGGAGCTGCAGCACCCCCAGGTTTGTTATTGCACTTCAGCTTTGGAGTAACCAGGAGAGACAGAGCTCGTCCAGCACCACAGGGCTGTGGCAGAGTGCTGCTGAGCAAAGTGCCTGGGTGGTTCCACCCCTGCCCTGAGCTGTACAGCACTGGAACTCTGCCAGCCCTTCCATCCTGGGCCTTAAATGCAGCTGCTGCATGAGACACAGGTGGGCTGCTGTGCCCCCCACACCCCCCACCCTCACCTGAGGCTGTGCTGAGTTGTTGTGGGAGATCACTGGGAAACTGGCAGCAAAGTGTCAGCACTGCCAGAGAAGGGGTTTGCTGTGGGGATTGCTCCACACTGAGCAGGACAGGAACAGGTAACTGCAGAAATCTCTACATCTCCCAGTCCTCTGCACTGGAGAAGGAGCCTTCATGGAGTGAAGCAGCAATGCAGGTTGGCTTTGGAGAGGGAGGGATGTGGGATGGATGATGAGTTTGTCCATTGTTTAAAGATGATCTTGGGAAGGCTGGCCCAAGGTGTAGGGCTCTTGGTCTTTTCCCAACAAAGGCAGCTGCATGGAATAATTTACCCTGAGCAGAGCTCAGTGCAAGCAGAGCCACACAGGAGCTGCCACAGGGGTGAAAACCCAGAAAGTTTGGATTTGGTTTAGAAAATAAAATAAAAGCAAGAAAGTAAAAAAAAAAAGTCAGTGCTCATCTACCTTTGGCTGCAGAGTCTTCCCGTGTTTGGACATCATTCCTACAGGTGAGGATTAGAAATGCATCATCTCTTCAGATGGGTCTGGGCATCATGTGACTCCAGGAGCAGGGAGATTTGAGGAAGAACTGTTGAATGTCATGAACTTTGCAGCAGGGCGGGGCCTCGGCTGGCAGAAAACCTTCCCACCTGAGCAGGGCTCCCAGGAGACAGCCTGACTTAGGAGCCAGCAACTGGCCCGAGAGGCTCCAAGTGTTGGGAGAGGATCAAAAAGCTCCCCTGGCAGTAAATCTTTCACCTGCCATGTGACTCACTGGGGCTTGTGGCCATTCCTCCGAGGTCGGCCCCGGGTCAGGATTTCTCCTGTCTCTTTAGCCCCCAAACCTGGAGATTTTTGTCTTATCTTTGACGCCATCTTGACACCGAAAACAAATTATGGCCCAATTACCCTTACTCGGAGGGGCTGGGGCTACCTTAAATGGCCACAACTTCCAGGCGCTTCCTTAAGAGCGGTAATTAGGGGGGCGTGGGGGCAAGGACTGGGGGTACCCCTGGCATGAGGCTGCCCTTGCTCCCCTGTTTGCCAAGGCAGGAGGGGCATCCCATCCCATCCCATCTCATCCCCTTCAAAACCTGCTGCACTCCGGGCTCCCCGGAGGCCCAGCAGAGGTGGGGCTCCCCGGTGTCCGGGCTGGGGGCTGCCCTGCCCCCTGCCTCCCCCAGCCCCGTGTCACCGCCTGGGCCAGCCCAGAGGGGCCCCGTGACGGGAGGCAGCAGCCCTGGCCCTGGCCGTGACCTTCGGGACGACCTCGAGTGAGTCCCTGCCAGGGCTGGGGACCGGCTGTGCCTCTCATTCCGAGCTGGGACATTCCCGTGCTCACCCCGAGAAACACGGGACAGCAGCATCACGGCTGAACCGCCAGAACAACCGATCTGAAATTTCTAAAAATTATTTTTCTTCCCATCTTTCAGTCTTATTACCCTGTCCTCTCCTCTGCTCTGTCCCTGGGCATTTTTTGCCCAGGGTTGTGCTGTCTGCCCGAACCCAGCAGCTCGTTTGGGAGCTGGCAAATCCAGCCTGGAGCCTGGGCAGTGCTCACGGGTGATCGGGTGGCTGGGCCTGGGTGTTTCTTCCCCCCCCTTTTTTTTTTTTTGTCAGATTGGTATTTTATTTGGCTCCATCCTGTCTACCGAGCTGTCCAGTGTAACCCTTCCCTTGCTGCTTCTGAGATAAGAATAGGCTCCCCCGAGATCAGATAAACAGGCCCATAAATACCTACAACAACAAGAAGCGGGGTCTGGGCTTGGCAGGAAAGGAGGGGGAAAAAAAGTCAGAAAAGGAGCCATTCTCTTCCATGCCAAACCAGGGGTGCAGAGAGAGGGGAGGCCCGACACCCCGACAGCATTGCCCCTTGGCCAGACAGGGAGCCAGGGGCCAAGCAGCGCTGGCAGCAGCGTCCCCTGCAGTGTCCCTCGTGGCTGGATTCCAGCGGCAGGGACCTGGCACGTAAGATGCTGCCCCGGGGCCAGGCGATGCCGGCGAGCGCCTTCCCCTGCCCGGGCAGCGCCGGCCCCGCCTGCGAGCCCCGGGCCAGCTGCTCGCAGCCGCACCAAGTTCACGGCAGGGTCGGGCCGCAGGTATGCGCAGGGCCATCCCCCCTGAGCCATGAGCTAGGCACTTCGGTAGCCAAAACCCCAAAGCCGGTGGCCACAGCGCTCTTCCAGGGAGTTGCGGTGCCGGCGGCCCCGGAGCTCTGCCGCTCCCAGCCGGGGCTCGCAGCCCGAGGAAGGAAGGGAGGCTGGCCCTGTGCAGGGCTCCCTGCAGCCCCTCTCCCTCTGGGGGTGAAGGGGTGACCCCATCCTAGGCTGGGCTGCAATCTCGGCTCCCCGGCCCGGCCCCCGGAGCTGGGGAGGAGCTCGCTGCTGGCAAACTCAGCCCTTCCAAAGCGCTTTGGGCAGCGGGGAAGCCCGAGGCTACAGGAAATGTTTAGTGGGGTTTTTTCCCCTCTCTCCCCCCAAACGCTGAGCCACTACCTCACAGGAAAACCCCTTTGCTGGGCAGGGAAATCCTCTGCAGCCGTGGAAACGGAGAGCGATTTCCTTGCAAAATCCCGAGGAGCGGGGGAGGCTGGCGCTGGGGACACCTTCCCCAGCAGGTACCACCACCAGAAACCTGTGGTAAGAAAAGAAAAATTCCTGCGGATGCAGGCAGAACATGGCCCTTGGCTGTGCAGGGCGCTCCTTCCCAGAAGCAAAATTGGAAACACACAAGGTAAAAACCAGCGGAGGTTTCTGGTGGGGTGAAAGCGCCGGCTGAGAGGGATGTACCGCGGTGTGCCGGCACCGGGGACACGATTCCCGGGCACTGTCACCTTTGCCTCACAGCAGAGCAAGTCCCGAGTCCCCGTTTAATCCTTTCCCTCATCGCTACAGAAGGGCAGCCCCGGTTGGAGCTGTATGGATACACGGATACCGGCTGGCACATGTGAACAGGACTGCGGACACATTTATGGGGCGCTGGGCTGTAGTGTTAGTGACAGCTTGGGAGCTTTCCCATAAGAACCCAGCCTTTAGGAGACACTGAAACTGAGACATAAAATAGGATCTTTGAGGCTGACTTTCTGTAAGTTTCCTTTTTTTTTTTATTTTCTTTTTTTTCCCCTTGAATGCATTCGGGTTTAGGAGTGCCCTACTCTACTTCACTCATGGAAGTGTTATCATGCTAAACCTCTTATAGCTCAAACAAAAAGTTCCACTGCGGGCGGGCATTGCTCTTCTCTGGCAGTCAATTTTCATCTCAGCCTCGCTCAAAGGGATCAGAAAATAGATCAGGGGCAGGGAAGGCAGCCGTGCAGCGGCTCCGGAGCGAGGGAAGGCTGATTTACGCAGCCAGATTCTTCTTCGTCGAGAGTTAATTACACTGGTACCCCACAATGTTTGTGTGTTCCTCCATCTCTATTTGTACACAAAGTGGCTATAAAACCCAAGCCGCTCCCCGATGGGTGAGCTGGGGTATTTTTGGTGTGTGCAGATTAATCGATGTGCCAGTATTTTACAGAAGTTGCATTATTATTTCTATACCTTTAGTCGCAATCAAAAGCTTGGTTTCAAACAGAAAATGTAAAAATCTCTGCTGTGAGCCCTCGGATTAGCCCTAGAATAAATAATGTGCACATTTTCCCGTGCTGTTTTTCTTTGCCCCAGGCAGCCTCCCGAGGGTCAGGGTTTATCCCGGTGTCTCTGGGAGCGGCGGCGTGGCCAGGCTGGGAAGGCAGGATCAGGCTCTGAGCCGTGCGCGCACGTCTTGGACTCTTTGGTGGGAGCACCGTGTGTGCCCAGTGGTGAGGTTTTGGCTTTAATTATTAAGGATTTACGCCTGAGTGGTGGCAGAATTTGTGCTGCGTGAGCGTTGCTGTGTCTGAGGCTGGCGGCATCCATCGCGTTCGGATGGCGAGGAGGGGACGCTGCTCCTTCCAAATGCGGCCGGGGCAGCGCCCAACAGGGGATCCCTGTCAGAAAGCGCTGCCGGTGCCAGGGCCGGGCGGGCTGCCCCGGCAGGACAGGGGAGCCGAGCCCCGGCTCTCCGCTCTCAGCAACGAAACCCGGGGCTCCGCCGCTCTGTGGTGCCATCCAGGCGCTGGAAAGGCCTGATCCTGCCATCCTTCCCCAAGCCAAATACGAGTCCAGTCCCTCTAGCTGGGCTCCTGGGAGGGAAGGAAGGGGTGGAAGGGCCGGGCAGAGTCCGCGCCCCGGAGGAGGTCGCGGGTACACGTTTGCAGAGCTCCACCAGCTCCTGCCGAGAGCAAGGACGGCATAAACGAGTCTGAAAGGATCCCGAGCTCCCCAAGGAGGAATTCCCTGACATGGATCGGCCCCGCAGCAGAATAGTGACTTCAGGGATGTCTTTAATCCCGCAGCATCCCTGTGGGCAGCACAGGGGACCCGGCCAGACCAGCGCGACTGCCGGAGCAGGGGAAAGCAGAGGGCTCGGACCCGAGGCCGTTTGCATAAAGTTTAAATTTTATTTTATTATTTTTTTTTTAGCTATTCAGTTTTAAATACGTGGTGTGGCGCGCTCGGTCCCTCGGGAAGTGGTCATGCAGATCTGAGGTAGAAAACCCGGCACAGGAGTGTTCCCAAATGCACCTCTAGGTAGTTTCACCGCAGCCGCACGTCGGTCAGGCAGCGGACGGGGAGAGGGGATGGGGAGCTCGTATTTACAACAGCGAACGAATCGAACCGTTCCAGTCCGGCCCGGCAGGGCAGGAGCCGCGGGAGGGAGCAACGATTACTGCAAATGCGGGAAGGGAACGGGGGAAAGGGCCCGGCTGGTCCCGCTGCCGGCGAGGCGGGCAGCACCGAGCCCGCGAAGCGCTCTCGCCTCTCCCGCGGAGCATCCCCCGGGCCGGGGGCAGCCGGGCCGGCTCCCCGTGTCCTGCGCCTGGATGGGCTCCGGGGCCGGGCTGGGCTCTCTCCGGCATTGCACATGGAGGGGCGGGCGGGGCAGCTCTCAGGGGTTCAGTTCCAGAGCCCAGACCTGCTGGGGCCAGCCCGTCCGGCCCTTCAGCTTCTTCTCGCCGTGACCCAGAGGCTGCGAATAGACCTCGGGCTGCTGCGGGAGAGGAGATAGGGAGAAAGGAGCGGTCAGGAACGGAGTGGGGTCCCGGGCCGCCCGCCCGCCCCTTGCAGGAGCTGCAGCTCCGAGCGGCTTTGCCAGCCCGGGGACAAAGAGGGGCTGTAGAGGTCCCCAGCCCGCCACCCGCCCGCCGCAGCACGGGGAGAAGCGGCCGCCCTGGCTCCGCATCGCTCGTCCTGGGAGAGCGATTCACCGGGGAGGTGAAGGACAGACCGGGGCAGTCCCGGACCCGCGGGCTGACCCCTCGCGGAAAGAGCTCGGCAACCCACCCGGCCCGTCGGAAGGGCTATTTTTCGACGAGTTTTCCCTTCACAGATTTGTTATTACTATTATTATAATTGTTGTTGTTGATGTAATTACGCTGGGGAAAAAGGCTTCAGCGAGGCCGGGAGATTTTAGAGGATTTTTCCCCCCAGCCCCGGGGTTTTTCCTGCCCGCTCCTGGCCCACGGCGAGCAGGGACGCGGGTCCCGATCCGCCTCTTACCGTCTCCCTTTTCCTCTTGTTCTCCCTGCCGTCCGCCTTCTTGAGTTCGGCTTTGAAGCCCTCGGTGTCCCCGGGCTGGCTGTCCTTGGCCAGCACCTCCATCAGGTAGGCGATGTAGCTGGTGGCCAGGCGCAGGGTCTTGATCTTGGACAGCTTGGTGTCGGCGGGCACGTTGGGGATGCACTCGCGGAGCTCGGCGAAGGCGCTGTTGATGCTCTCCGTCCTCCGCCGCTCCTTCTTGGGTGCCCCGACTCCTTTTCGCCGTCCCAGGCGGCCGCTGAGCGCCTCCAGCCGCCCCGGGCCGGCCGGGCCGTACTCGGCGGGGCCGTAGCTCGGGCTCTGCCCGGCGAGCTCGGGGGCGGCCTCGGCCGGGTTCAGCACCCAGCCGGGGAAGTAGGCGCGCTCCTGGTGGCACCGCGCCGCCGGCCCGAAGAGGAAAGGGTCGTGCAGCATGTGGTGGTGATGGTGGTGGTGGTGGTGATGCTGGTAGCCCCCCACCAGGTTCATGATCCGCTCCGCCGGCCCGGGGGCCGCTCAGCAGCGCTCCATGGCCGGGCGGGAGGCGCTCCCCGCCGGGCGGGCGCGGCGGGCTGCGGGGAGCGCGGCTCCGGAGGCGGCTGCGGGCTTTGGGGTTTTGGGTTTGTTGTTTGGGGGTTTTTTTAACCCCTTCTGGAGCCTCCCGACCCTGCCTTTATATAGGGCCGCGGCCCCCCCGCCGCGGAGCCAATGGGCAGGGGAGGATGCGCGGAGGCCCCGGGGGGAGCGGAGCGGCGGAGGGGGCGTGCGCCGGGCTCGGGGCTTTGGGCTCACACCTCCCCGCCGGCCCTGGCTCCCGCCCGCTCCTCGCTCTCAGGAGAAGGGGGTGAGGAAGAACCGAGGGGCACCGCACCCCCGTCCCGGAGCTCCGGTTCCCGCTGGGGCGGGGGTGTCCGAGCCCCCCGAGAGCCGGCCGGGGCAGCCGCTGGTGGATGTCCGGACCTCCGACGGCCGGGCCGAGGGAGAGGAGAGCAGCGGGGCTGGGAGGATGCCAGGGGATGGGGAGGAAAGCGGGGCGAAGGTATCGGAGTGAGGCAGGAGAGGCACCCTTGAGGCTGGGGCGGCAGGGATGGGAGGTGGGCTCCCTGCCTGCACATGGGGCTCCTGGCCCTCGCCTGTGTTGCACAGCTGCACAGGGATGTGCACTGCACGCGTGCACAGCACGCAGCCACGCTGTGCAGTGCACGCTGCACAATTCCACACTGCACTGGTGCTGGTTGCACCATGCACTGCTGCTCACACCGCTGAACTGCACACGTTGCCCACATGCACCACAAAGATGCTGCATGCACCACACAACTCTGTGCTGTGCACACACTCCACAAACACGTCACACTCGTGCACCCATATATGTTACATACACCAGCAGCACGGATGTGCCACATGCACGGTGTCATTATAAGTACATGACACACACACATGTGGCACATGCACAATGTCATTATAAGTACATGACACACACACATGTGGCACATGCACAATGTCATTATAAGTACATGACACACACGTGTGGCACACGCACACCCATCACACACACGGCTTATAAACACACGTGTGTGTGCTGCTCACCCGTGCACAGACACTGCGTAGGTACATAAATATATAAAAACTATACTGGCCATGCACATGAATGTATTTACAGCAGGGAAGGGAGGACCTGCCCTGTGTTTCCCTGTCCCAGCCTGGCCACGAAAGGGCTGGGGGGACACGCTGGGGTTGGGGTCTTGTACTTCACCACAGTCCCAAACCCAAGCCCAGGGAGGGGCCCTGAAGTGGACAGCACATCCTGCTCGCCTCTGCACCCATGGGTGACAGATCCCCAGGACGATGTCCCAGAGCCGGGCCACAGCTGGGGCTGACCCCTGCCCTGGCTGCAGCGGCTGCAGAGGGGACAGGCTGGGCACGGCAGCGGGATCCCAGCACGGCGGGGCAGGAAGGGGCTTTGGGCCCAAGGTATGTTAGCGATTAACGGCGCTTTCCAGCGATTCATCTTGCAGCGGAGGGTGGAAACGTTGGAGGGTTGTTTGCAGGCGCTTGTATTAATCATCCGGGCTAACACACCATTAACGTCCTCCTGCATTTTAAAGATGACAAATTTTATTTGACTTCTCTCAATCACGGTTCCCGGGCGGATTCGGGAGCCACTTAAATGCCTCGGATTTTCCATCGTTAGCTGTTACAAGGCGAGTTGCGGGGGCAGGAGGCTGGGGGGGCCGGGCAGGGTGCACGCAGGTCTCCGGTTCTCCCGGCGGCTGGGGGGGAGCGGCCGTGCCGGATCTGCCCAGCTTTGTTCCCCCCCTGCTTTGTTCCCAGCTGCTGCAAAGCCCCCGCTTCCCCATCCCCTTTAAACGAGCGCCCTGCAAACATTTGCTAGTGATTACTCTGCTGCTAGAGCCAGGCTTGGGTAGGGTAGGGCGTCGTGTCCCCGATTTCCTTCCAAGCAGCCGTGGGTAGGTGGGATCCCCGAGCCCGGCTCGGAGCTGATGGGAGCCAGCTCTTCTCTCCACCTGGGAGAAGTTCAGGGGTCCCACTTCACGCCTCACCTCTCCGTGCTGGCAGAGCATCACCTGTGGAGCCCTGCTCCTCTTCCAAACCACCCAGGCTCCTCACTGAGCTTCTCCCCAGCCCTGACAGGTGAGAGTCTGTGGCACCCAGCCCCAGCTCTAGAAATACCTCCCAAAAATACCCTTTTCATCCCCACAGCCCTGCATTGCACAGGCCACTTACAGCCACATCCAGCTGGGAGCTGTCACCTCGAGCCCTGCACCAGAGTCACCTCCAGCTGCCAAGCCAGGTAAGTCCAGCCCAAACCTGGGCATTATTTTGCTTAATCCACTCCCTGGTGGAGGTCCCTGGACCCTGCAGAGTTTCGAAGTGCTCAGCTGAGCAAATAGTGGGACCAAAGGGTTGATTTTTCCTTTGGAAAATCATTCTAATCTTTCGCGTTTTAATAAAATAATAAAACCAGAGCCCTTTTCATGCCGACACCTTCTAAATCAAACCAGACTGCCTTTGTCATGGCGTCCAAATTTAGCACTTCTCAAACTTTTGGTGAGTTTCCTTAATTTCACATCTCCCCACTCGCATGGGGGAGAAAACGCCGAGCAGTTTGGATTAGGAGATTTATGGCTGGCATGGCAGGAGGAACCACGTTTCTCTCCACCTGTTTTCCTTCAAATCAGAGAAAGATTTCCTGCCCTCATGGCCAGGTGATGGTGAGGGGGCCAATGCTTCATGCTGGGAGTGAGGTTATCCCAGGTCTCTGTGAACCCCAGCACCCCAAACCCGGCAGAGGCCACCAAGCCCTGCATCCATCCCCATTTCTGGGCCAGGAGCTGAGGTTTTGGCCCTGGCCCCTCAGACACCTCCTTATCAGAGTGCAGCCAGCGGCAGCCCCGCTGTCCTGTGACTTTGACGCCAGCTCTGCTCCCCCCTCCGGCTCCCTTATCTAAATAGGAGCGTAAATCAGGGCCTTGGCAGATGCCCTGGCAGGACAGGGACTCCATAAAAAGGGGCTCTGCTCCAGCTCTGTTTACATTGCAGCCCCGTAAAATATTCCCCTTGTCTTCCTTGTTAGCGTCTCCCTGCAGCATCCCAGCACCCTGCTGCACCCACATCCCCCCCAGCCCGAGCTCCTCTGAAGGGCCAGGGTGCAGCCAGGAGGGTCCCAGCCCTGCCACCCCACATTCCCACACCGTGTCCCCCATCAGGTGGTGCCCAGGGTACCTCCTCACTCCTCCACTGATCCCTCCTCAGGCAGGGCAGGCGCAGAGCAGGGCTGAGCCAGCTCCCCTGGGCAGCTGGGTTGTGTCTAAAGGTGCCCCTGGGTATTTATAGCACTTGCCTGGAATAATGCAATAATAATCACTCAGCACCTTCCTAACAGTTCTGCTCTCAGAGGCCTCGGGGGACGGTGGCAAAAACCCTTGGGAAACTGAGGCAGAGTCTGCTTCAAGGAGAGCTGCAGAGAGCTCTCTGTCTGGGGGATTCTTTTCCTCCTGGCAATGTGAGGAGCGAGAGAACCTGCAGAAGTGAACAGAATCAAGTAAGTTTGATCAGCAATGAACTCCGGGGTCACAGCCAAGGCTGGGCTGCAAAAGCCCACTCAGGGCATCCCTCATCCCCAGCAGGGTTTGCCACACGTCCTGCTGTGCCAGGCTGGGTTTCACAGGGGTGAGGGGTGCTGCACAGTTCACACTTGCTGGTGCCCACGCTCTCCTGAGCCCACGCACTGCCTGTGTCCCCCAGGCTGCACTGCTGGGCTGCTTAATTCTGCACCAGCACCACAGGAGCAACTCCCAGTGAGGCAGAGTCTGTCAGAGCCCCGTGGAAGGAGCAGGAGGAATGGGGGGTGAACACAGGGCTGTGCCTGGATGTTCCTGTTCCCAGCAGCAACCCACAGCATCTCCTCTGCCCACACCCCTCCTGTGCCACCCCTGTGGCGACACACATGATGACTGTAACCATTGCCCCTCAAGAAATGCCATCTATTTATGGCCAAACAGCCACTGTCTTGCGTGGATAAATCAAAAGGAAAACAAAGCTTTACGGAAAAAAGTATTAAATTTTCCGTGTGCTCCTGAAGGGACGGGCCAGGCACTCACTGTTTATTTTTTGGGCTCTCTCTTTGCTAGTACTGTAAGTGACATTGTGTTTACAAAAGTTTTTATGTCATCAGAGCAAAGTCACAGCTCAGCTTCCTCTCCTGTGTATTTTATGTAGATGGATGTGTCTGTGAGGAACATTCAAACTAAACAGAAAGCTGGTTTATAGGAAAATGTATTTATTTGAAAAATCGTAACTCACAATTTTGGCAAAACCGGGTTCCACATTTATTGCTGCTAATGGGGTGTGGCGGCCATAAATTAACCTGGAAAATTGCTGCAGCCATTTCAACAATGGCTCATTGTGCTGATGGAGCAGCAGCTCCTCAAAGATGGCTCATGTCAATTGGCGATTAGGTTTGGATGCAAACAACAGGTAAAGGGAAGGTAACAGCAGCCTCACCACTGGAACCAGCCCCAAAATCATTGCTCTAGACTGGCATGGGTGCCCTGAGTCTCACTTAAAGCAGAGCTGTTCCCTCATCTGATTGCCATGGAAGTCAGTGGAAGGAGGCTCCACCTGCCATAAGGGGAATTTCTATTTATATCAAATTACCTGTCATAGACACCTAATTGGAGATGACAGAAAAACCCAGTCCATGAGCTCTGTCTGGCAGCCCAGGACAGCCACATGCATGGAGAGTGGGTCCAGTTGTTCCCTGGTAGATGTCTCTTCTTGAAAGAAGTTTTGCATGGAATCAGGAGTGATGCTCCTACCCTAAAACCTCTTCTTTCCCACTCAGATTCCTTGCTTAGACAAACACTGATCCCCAAAACCTTGAGGCTGGCTGCTGACCCAGGGGTACAAGCTGCCACTATCATTCTCCCATCCTTGATCACCTGGCCCAGGGCACGGTTTGGCTGCTGGCTCCTGGTGGTAACTCTCCACTCATGGGGAATAGTGGAGAAGAGCTCCCAGATGATTCAGGTTTCTGACAAAAAACAGTGCCTTTCCCTTCTCCAACCACTTTCCACTCCTGAAGCAAATTTACAAGGGCTCTAAAATGTCCTGCTCCAGGGCATCAGCCAACTGCTAATGGTTGGGGATTGGGAAAGACATTTCCTCTGCTCAGAAGGATTGCATAAGCGCTTATTAAGGCAGCTCCTGGCGTCTTCAACAAAAGCATCTGGTTTGGGGCATAGCTGGAGACAAATTTCTGGGTTTGGATGGGCAGAGCTGGACTTGCTGCTTCCAACCCTTCCCTTAATGCAGCTTTGGGTCATCTCCTATGTGCTGGTGGGGAAGGGGAGGTGGGTCATGACATGAGACGTGTCCTTCTCCCTCTCCCGCTGCTCTCCATTAATCCTGGTGGTGCCACTGTGGGGACTTCCCTTCCCACTCCTTCCAACTCCAGGAGCTCAGGGACCTTCCAAGCCCAGGTACCACAACATCACGTGTTCCTGAGGGATTTCCCTGGTCCCTGTTACACCAGCATCCCACATTCCTTGAAAGAGGGCTTCCCTCCTGTCCCATTGCTACTGTCCCTGGCACAGGGACTGGCCTGGCTCAGTGGGTGAGCTCCTGCTCTGCACCCTGGCTGTGTGACGTTGCAGGTAAATGCCTTTGTGGTGAGAAAAGGCTGCTGACAGTGGTCCTGACCACCAAAAAATGTTGGGATGTTTTTAACAGGGCTTTGCTGTGTCACAGGCTCAGTGTGATGTGCTGGCACTGCAGAGCAGCCAGAGCCAGGGAACAGCATCCTGTCCATGTTTCCCTGTGGTGGGACCATGTCCTGGGATCCCTACTTCCCTCCTTCCTCTCTGTGTGGATCCACATGGGGTTTTTAATTCATTTTGTCTCTAAGATTTTCAGGCAGCTCCAGTTCTCATCACACAGTGTCTCATGCCAGGTCTGGCTATTCCATCCCAACTGTGCCAGGGTAGGAGGATGAGGACTATTAGTGGTGTCTTAGTATCCTGGTTATACTCAGCTCTCTCAAAATTCCAGTTTTTCTCTCTGCTCAGGTGCAGGAGTTACTGCTCACTTCCATGGGAGCAGAGGGACTGATTTTCCCTTGGTTCCCCCCAGTGCATCCTGAGATGTCTGTGCAGCTGCCGGGCCAGCCATTACAGCAAGACTCTCAAGATGGGTTTTCCAAGGTTGGATTGAGATGGTTTTAAGAATTAACAAGCATCTGTTAATACTTTTTTTTTTTTTGTAACAGAAAATTATTTGGGAGTTGGGGGTCTTAAATAATTTTAGTGCTTTTTCCCACCCTCTTCCCCTGTTTTATAAATGGGAGGTGGCAGAAGCCTCCCCAGAGCTCATTATTCCCCATCTCAAACTGGGATCCAGCACCCAGCATGGCTGTGCTGCTGCCTTCATAGACATGGGGGGAAGTGGGGAGATTTTGGGGCAAAAAAGCACAGAGGCACTGAGTGTCCTTTTGTCAGCTTGGTCCATGGTGTCACCATGGACATTGTACCTCCTTGCATCCAGGCAGTCACAGGATGGGACATGCTGTAAAAAGTGAATCCAGACCTCCAAAGAATAAGGCTTTTATTGTATATCAATATACACAGTAAATATGTGACTCCTCCTAACATGCTCTGGAGAAAAAAACTCTGTGAAATGGAGCTTATTGGAAGGAAATAAATTGCTCCCATAAAAATGCTGATCCCTCCCTACTTCTCAAAACTGAAACAAAATCGTTTGCTGTGAGCTGAAGACCTTTCTTCTCCTGGCTCCTGGTTTTCCAAGAAGAGCAGGGAACATGAAGGAAAAACAAGCCTTGCCCATTAAAACCCTCTTAAGTGAAACTCCAGTTTTCTCTTAAACTTTGCTTGGAAACATTTGGAGCAGCTTCGTGCAAAGCAGTTCTGCTCTTTGAAAGGCCATTAAAATAAAAAACACCCAACCCAAAATAGCCATCCCTGCAAGAAGCATCTTGTTTGGACAAACGTGGTTTGTTTTACACCCTGAATCCAAACACTCCTGGGGAAATGTTGTGAAATCCACCGTGCTGGCGGTGCAGCGGCTCCAGGGATGTTTTGTGGGACATGGACAAAGCTGGTGGGTGCTGGCACCAGCATGGCCACCACCAGCACTTCCCTGCTGATTGTCCCAGCTGCTGGAGTATCCCTGACTTCAGCACAGTGCATTTTCCATCAGGGTGAAGGCTTGCAGGGGTGACTTCTGGCAGGGAGGGATTTTGTACCAGCGTTCAGCCCCACTCTGATCTTGCTCCAGAGCTCCTGTGGCCTCTCTGCAGAGCCCATCATATGCAGGAGCTGAGAACACTCACCCTGGAACAAACAAAAACCATTTTCCAACAAGGTGTTTAAGCCCTTCTTAGGTTTGTTTTGGGTTTTGGTTGTTTTTTTTGTTTTTTGGGGTTTTTTTTTTTTTTGTTTGTTTGTTTTTAACATACTCCATGTTATATCTAGAGCACAAAAAACCCCCCACAGTAATTCCTAAGCCAGCAATATGCACACCAGCAATCCTGATACAGTATTTATACATATATATAAGAATAAACTTGTATATACATATCAATATTTTCTATATTTTTTATAAATCAATGTTTTGTTTTATTTATAAAAAATAAAATAAATGTAAGTACAAATATAATTACTATTGTAGATGTAAATATAAAGAAGTATATATAGCATGTGTGTGTGTATCTGTGTATATATATGGTGCTGCTTTTTCTGCTAGTGGCATCAGTCTGTGATTTAGGAAATCACAAATATTTCTATGCCAGGGCCTTTGGCAGTGAAGTTTTGCCATGCAGCTGCCCTTCCTGTGCAGCAAGCCCAGCCTGGTGAACCCTGCCAGGAGCCCAACACCCATGGAGTTAGGGAGAATTTGTTCCTCACGGATTTGCCTGAACCTGCCAATTTATTGGGGAGCTGGGATCCTCTGGATGGGCGCTCCACCTCGCTGTGGCTCTCCAGGAGGAAGCTGGCCCAGCCTCATCTGCTTGGTGTGATGCTGAAATCGTGGGTGGAGGGTGGGGAGCCCCCAGTGCCGTGTCCTCCCACCCCAAGAGCTGCTGCCCCCACCTTTCTTCTGGAGGGGACGGGGGGAGAAAGGGCTACACCACTGTGAAACTGCAGTTTTAGAGGGTGGTGATTATTTTCTTGGGCCAAAAGGACAAGAAACATCTTGTCTAAAGATGACAGGCTCGATTTGCTGTGTCATTAACCAGAGCCGAAACTCTAGATGGGCTGGGTCTCCTGT